AAAAAGAAATATCATCCGATGTTGCTGAATGCCCTCTGGAGAGCTGGGCAGAATTGCCTTTGAGAATCACTGCCTTTAACATTTATCTTTGGGAGCCATGTTGCTATTGTTTGCATCTATAGCCTTAGAAACAAATAACAGATCCTAACATCTGACCTGGGGGCGCACGTACACACACACACACACACACACACACACACACACGTAGCGTCTTCTTTATACTGTCGTTTGGGATTTCTGGGTGCCTAGCAAATTAAAAACTCCCCCATTTTGTTTTATTTTGCTGCTGTGCTTTAGGGGAAAAGCAACGTGACCTGGGTGTGCATGGGTGAGACAGAGCGATGTATTTTCATCATAGAATTTGAATGTGGAGCAATCACATGCAATTAAATTAAAGACTACCCTGTTTAACATGCACTGGGCATAACGTAGGCAGCAGGTTGCAAACTGTGGAAGATAGATTTTCATTAGCAGGCCCATAAAATGTATTTCTCGCACGAAATGACCTGGATTTGCGAGTTGATGGGAGGCATGTAAATTGTGGAGTGCCATTAACTAAGGTGTAATTTGGCCAACCTCAATTTTTTTACTGCCATTTTCTTAATTTAAGCACATCTGTTACATTGCGTTTTTTTTTTTTTTTTTTCAATTGTGTTTTGGTTAGTATGTTACTGCCATGGCTGTGGACGTAATATGAAGAAGAATGTCATGCTCCCTGCCAGGCTGGAGAGAGCAGAGATGGGCAATTTGACAGACTCTAGCTTGGGCATACCCAGTGGGATGATGGGAAAAATCATGGAATCTGTTTTCTCGCCGGCTGAAATGGGGCTCTCCCTGTTTATTTTCTAGTTCCTACCCGACCCTCCGTCTCTTTTTATAATAATTCATCACATAACCATTTTAAAGATCCTGTTAAATTCATCTTTTTATTCTTTCAGACAACATATTCCTTCTGCCCTTTCTTCTTGCCAGTAATCTGTCTGCCTCCGTTCAAATTCTAGCTTACCACTTTAGAAGCTGGAACATTTACTTTTACTCGGCAGTGATCATCAAAATATGTAAAGCTAGAGGCCCAGTGCACAAAATCCGTACAAGGGGCTCAGCCCCAGCTTTGTTCGGAAGGTCTTCCAGATGGTCGTAATGCTATTCAGTCTAATTAGCATATTAGCTCTTTATTATGTGGGATTAGTGAGACACGAACATATGGCAGCATTACCCAGCAGCAGATATTGCAGATTTGAACCTTAACTTGGGAGCCACTGAATCATGGGAAAGCAGTGGTGGGAAGGGGTCAAAGAGGGTCAGAGAGGGGTGGGGTGACTCAGGGTAGGGTCTGTAGCAGCCAGAGTACAGAAGCTTCTCAGACTCGCCACTGGTACCGTATTTTTCGGACCATAAGACGCACTTTTTTCCCCCCAGAAGTGGGGGGAAAAAGTCCCTGCGTCTTATGGTCCAAATATAGCCTACACATATACTTTTTAAAAAAAGGTTTTTTACTTGCCCAGCTCTGTGTGGTCTCTGTGTGGTCTCTGTGTGCTTGCCCGGCTCTAAAATGGTTCTAAATGCTGCTGTTTACTTTACAGGGTTGATTACATGTGTTTATGACTGTGATGTTGGGTTTTAATGCACATAAAATATTTTAGGACACTATTTGTTTCAGAATCTTTTTTTCTTCATTTTCCTTCTCTAAAAACTGGTGCGTCTTATGGTCCGGAGCGTCTTATGGTCCGAAAAATATGGTATATCTTACCAGCAGTAAGCTGGATATACCAAGCCTGATTAAGCTTCGCTTGCCTCATACAAAATGGAAATCAAAATACTGCCTTGCGTATTTAAAAGCTCTCATGCCAAGCATAAAATTGTAACTATGAGTGGTGATGGATATTGAGTAGATTTATCACGTGGTCATTTCACAATATATACAAATCGTTAGGTTATATACCTGAAGCTAATGTTATGTGTCAACTATACAAAAAAAGGTGTATGCAGGTTGCTAAAATTCCAATGTTATTCTCCTTTTAACATAAAGAGAGAATGTATCTCATTGTATATGTTTCCTCTCACAATGGACACTAGATGACTATTAGGAAAATGAGTCAAGTTCATGGTCCAATCTCATTTCCACTGGACCAGATGTGGTAGGACATGGATCCGAGACTCAACTCTGCCACCTGTAGGTAGGACCTTGACCAAAGCACTTCTCTGCACCTAACACCTTGCAGACGGATCACGAAAAGTCTCTGTCTCGCTTCCTATTACACAGTGTTTTACAAAGTCTCATACTTTACAAAGAGATTACACCGTAAGAACATGTAATAAATAACTTCAAAATGCAACGGGTATTTACTTTAAAGCATGCCTTTAACATTTATGTAAAACGTCTTTTGTACTCATTCGATAGAAACTTATCTGGCCACGGGGTAAAGCTAGCAATCAAACTACTAGTCCGCAATGTGTTAAAGTTCCTTCCCAACAAAATAAGGGATGTGTCCTAGACAGTATTCCGTGTTGCTGCAAGATTGAGCATCTCATGCCGCCAAGTCATTAAGGGCTGTTGAAAAACAACCAGCGCTCAGAATGCTTGGTCACAATCTGTGATTAAAGAAGAAAACCGATACCATACTTCTCTAAGCCTGGCCCATTGGGGGCAGGTGGAGGAGGAGGCAGAAGTGAGGGTGAGATTGGCGAGGGAGGGATGCAGGCAATTCTCCCAGCTGCTCTTATAATGAGGAAATAATGACTTAATGTCTGGGCAATTTGTAAAGCAGCTGCCAGTGGGGCAGGGAGACAGCTGTTCTTAAAAAAAAGAAAGAAAGAAAAAAAAAGAATTGGGCTCTTTCTCTTCTAGATCCCATAGTGCACGAATGAGCAATGCAGTTTCAAAAATCAGTGATTAATTTCTAGGAAGTGATGTCTTAGGACCCCTTAATGAGCACGGGGCTGAGGGGTTGATGAAGTTTCAAAACTCACATTTTAGAAACCAATCTTAAAAACATGAGAATCTCCCCAGTGGTTGAGCATTGACCTATGAAGCAGGTCACAATTTGATTCCCAGTCAGGGTACATGCCCGGGTTGTGGGTTCGATCCCCAGTAGGGAACATGCAGGAGGCAGCCGATCAGAGATTCTCATCTTTGATGTTTCTCTCTCTCTTCCTCTCCCAAATCAATAAAAAATTTTGTGCCTACAGAAATGTGTATTTGTGTCCTAGTTGGTTTGGCTCAGTGGGTAGAGCGTCGGCCTGCGGACTGAAAGGTCTCAGGTTCGATTCTGGTCAAGCACACGTACCTTGGTTGCGGGCACATCCCCAGTGGGGGGTGTGCAGGAGGCAGCTGATCAATGATTCTCTCTCATCGATGTTTCTAACTCTCTATCCCTCTCTCTTCCTCTCTGTAAAAAAAAAAAAATCAATAAAATATATTTAAAAGAAAGAGAGCAACATGCTAATTGACCATATCTTCGTGACAGCCCACCCGAGCCAATCAGGAGTGAGTATGCAAATCAACCCAACAAAGTTGGCGGGTTAATTTGCATACACAGGCCCTGAGCAGCCAGGGGCGGTCCATACCACCTCAGACACTCCGGGCCTCTGGGCAGCGTGGGAAGGCAGAAAGGCAGTTCTGGGTGAAGCAAAAAGGCGGCTCCAGCCAGAGCAAAGGCGGGCTAGCAGCCAGGGGAAGAAAAGGCCCATTCTGGCAGGAATCTTCATGCATCGGGCCTCTAGTTTTAAGTAAGACCAATAAATACATTCAGCTGTAAGAAATCCGCTTTCCACTGATAAAGCACATGTGCTCGTTTTCCCAACATCAAACGGCCTTCGCTCACCACCCTGAGTTTTAACCTGAGCTGTCAGTGGTCCAGGCGGGACCTGTGCAGAATCACGCATCCTGAGAAGATGCAGAAGCCCATCTCGCCGTCCATCCCCCTGGCAGGCAGGAAGGAAGCTAATCTCATCATCTCCAGATGGAGCAAGATCTGCTGTGCGACCAACCTGTTTAGCTCCAGAGCAGCTCCGGCCGTTTCCCCCAGCTGTCTAAATATTGTAGCTCTCAGCTCCCTCCCCCTCTTCCTCCTCTTCCTCCAGGAATCATGCCCGGGGCCTTCAGGACACTCTGACCTCTGTCCCCTCTGCAGGCTCCCAGCATCCTTTGCATCTGGGCTGCACACTTGGGAACTTGTTTTGATTATCTTGTACAGACTTCTGGTTCATTTTATTTTTTTAAATATATTTTATTGATTTTTTTACGGAGAGGAAGAGAGAGGGATAGAGAGTTAGAAACATCGATGAGAGAGAATCATCGATCAGCCGCCTCCTGCACGCCCCCTACTGGGGATGTGCCTGCAACTATGGTACATGCCGTTGAGTCAACCCGGGACCCCTCAGTCCATGCTCTATCCACTGAGCCAAACCTGTTTCGGCCTTCTGGTTCATTTTAAACCAATGTTTGTTTGCTGGCGTTGGAGACCATATTGGCGGCCATTGTTTGGCCCCTGCAGAGCTTAGCATTATAAAAGAAGTGTTACTCCTAGTTGGTTTGGCTCAGTGGATAGAGCATCAGCCCACAGATGGAGGATCCTGGGTTCGGTTCCGGTCAAGGGGTACCTCCATTCCAGGCTTGATCACCAGCCCTGGTCAGGGCACATGCAGGAGGCAACCAATTGATGTGTCTCTTTCACATGGATGTTTCCCTCTCTCTGTCTCTCTCCCTCCCTTTCATTCTCTCTAAAATTCAATGGAAAAATATCCTGTGCATTTTGGGGTGCTTAGCAGAATATTTGACCTCTACCCACGAGATGCATCCCCCTCCATCATGACAATCAAAAAAAGTCCTCAGCCAAAACCAGTTTGGCTCAGTGGATAGAGCGTCGGCCTGCGGACCGAAAGGTCCCGGGTTCGATTCCAGTCAAGGGCATGTATCTTGGTTGCAGGCACAATCCCCAGGATTAAGATTATATATTAAGATTATATATTAAGCCAAAACGGGTTTGGCTCAGTGACTAGAGCGTCCGCCTGCGGACTGAAGGGTCCTGGGTTCGATTCCGGTTAAGGGCATGTACCTTGGTTGCGGGTACATCCCCGGTAGGAGGTGTGCAAGAGGCAGCTGATCAATGACTCTCTCTCATCGATGTTTCTAACTCTCTATCTCTCTCCCTTCCTCTCTGTAAAAAAATCAATAAAACATATATATATTTTTTAAAAAAAAGATTATATATTAAGATGCAAACTGGAAAAACCTAGGTTCTTTCCCAGCTGCTCACGCCAGGCCCCATGCTAGACCTCCACGTGAGAATCTCAGGAGTGGGATCCAGCATACGAAAAGGTCCATCAGTTTTTACAATGTGCACGTAGGGCTGGGAACCATTGTCAGCAGTGGCCGGAGCCAGCTCTCTTGGCCTGAGCGTCGCTGCTCTCACTGCCTGCTTAACCTGTTCCACTGGAAATGTTTCTGACGCTTCAAATGCACGCAGAAGCCACCCTTCGGTCGCTCCGAGCCCTTCCTCACACGTTTGAGATCGCCACCAGCCAATATTGATTTATTCCCCGCCGCGTTGGAGATGGCCCTCAAGGAGCCATAACTACTTGCTGTCAGTTCGAGCACGCTTTGTGTGCGCTGGTTCCGTTTTTAAAATATCGCAGGGCTTATGGCAAGGAGCCAGTTTCCAGATGTGAATGCTACGTCAGGTACTTTCAAAATGTTTAGCGCTTGAAACAGCTAGGCTCCATTTTAAGGAAACACTTTCTCCCTGTGTCTCATTTTCCCGTTGTAGTCTTTGGAGGGGATTGGGGGGTCGGGGGTTCAAGAACAGAGGTACCTTTTCTGTTGACCCAGAGGAGCGCGCAGGGCTGGGACGAGGAATTTGTGTTATCAGCTTTCCCCTGAGACCCGCCTTCGGCTGGAGTTCCTGCCAGTACCTTCCTCTCTCTCTCTCTCTCTCTCTCTCTCTCTCTCTCTCTCTCTCTCTCTCTCCCTCCCTCCCTCCCTCCCTCCCTCCGTCTCCCTCCCTCCCTGCCTCTCTCTTCCTCCTCCTCCTCCTTCTCCTCCTCCTCCTCCTCCTCCTCCTCCTCCCTCCTCCTCCCTCCTCCTCTCTCCTCCATCCTCCTTCTTCTTCTTCTCTTCTTCTTCTTCTTCTCTCTCTCCTCCTCCTCTCTCTCCTCCCTCTCCTCTCTCTCTCTCTCTCATATATATATAATCTTCACCCAAGGACATGCTTAGAGAAAGAAAGGGAGATAAAGAGCAATATGGATGTGCTATTGTGTTTCCCTGAAAATAAGACATCCTCCAAAAATAAGACCTAGCGCATGGAAAGATAAGACATCCTCTGAAAATAAGATGTAGCGCAACTTTGGGAGAAAAAATTAATATAAGGCACTGTCTTATTTTCGGGGAAACAGGGTAGAGAAACATTACTAGGTTGCCTTCTCTACGCTCCCCAGCTGGGATCAAACCTGGAGCCCAGGTAATGTGCCCTGATTGGGAATCGAACTGGCAACCTTTCTGTGCACAGACGACGTCCAACCCACTGTGCCACTGTGGCCGGCTGCATGCAGCTTTTGCTTGTTTGGGTGTCCACATGCTTGTTACAGATCTCTGATCATTTCCAGAGCTCCATAAAGCTATTAGCTGCTCGCTGTTTATTTGCTGTTTCCTTGGGGGAATGAGCACCGGGAGCATGCGAGTTCACCACCTTGAGGATATCACAGTAGTTTAGAGGTTTGTACACATTTGTGAAGGAATAACTAGGAGGAATTCCCTTTTTTTTTAAAAGTGCCCTTTAAAAAATATTTTTTAATTGATTTTAGAGAGGAAAGGAGGGAGCAAGATAGAAACATCAATGATGAGAGAGAATCATGGATCAGCTGCCTCCTGCATGTCCCATACTGGGGATCAAGCCTGCAAACCGGGCCTGTGCCCTGAGCGGGAATCAAACCCTGACCTCTTGGTTGATAAGTCAACGCTCAACCACTGAGCCATGCCAGCCAGGAGATGATGTTACAATTTGTATTTATTTTTGTGCTTAATTTTATATTTAAAATCGTGTACCCTTTTTGTAAATATGGTCCTGGCTGGGGAAGGAAGGTTTAATTTTTATTATTTAACTAGACATATTAATTTTTTTAAAGTCATGTTATGATCATCTTTCTCTTTTTTCTACCCCCCGCCACCAGGCTATGAAATTGATCCATCTATCCAGAATCACGGGGGGAAAAAAAAATATTCTGGGTTATGAAACAACTAGAACAGACAGTTGGGATTGAAAGTAAACTCTGTGTGTGTGTGTGTGTGTGTATGCTAGCTATCTGTATTTAATTGCTAATGTGTGACTATATGGAGGCATTGTAAGAAGGGAAATAATGATTTTAATTTGAGTTTACATTTCACTTAACCAAGTGTTTATGAACACTAGTTTTTGTAGTGAGAGAGGCTTATATTTTGATCTTACATCTATTTGATTGACTTGGAAATCTTTATTCTCTGAAAACCTCAGTCTTGTTTTTTGTCTATAAAGTGAAGGTTATAGGACATGTCTTAGACTTGTAGTAAGAAATAAATGAGCTCACGCAAATAGGAATTTCAGCATAATTCCTAACCGGCAGGAAATGCTAACATTAAAAAAGAGGAATTATTATTACCATCCTTACTTGTTAAATCCTTGGAAAAGCAGGTAGCTTGGTTCACCTACTTTGTAGCTGGGCAGATTGAGGCCAAGCGTTTAAATATTTTGCTCCTAATTGCTTAAGAGTGGTGGCCATACCTATAACTTGTAAAATGTAGAAATTATCAACATCTTCCTTCCTCTTTCCATCAACTCATTAGGAACTACAAATTATAAATGTTTCCAGATTCCGAGCTGACTGTGCAGGATCTGCTGGAAACATTAGGCAGGTGGGGTTGAACTTGGAACTTTTCTAAGAATTTAGTCCCTTTATTGCTCATTTTGCTGGAAAATCGGCGACTTTTGCCAAACACGTTGTTTTCTTCCCTTGACAAAAAGCAGATCAGCAAGTTTTCATATTGCTCTATTTTTAATGGCTTGGAGCATCAGCATTTTATAACAAGAAAAAAATTAAAGTTCTCTAATATTTGGACGAGAAGGGCTTATAAAAATTTTCACATCCACGCACCATCTGGAAAAGCAAGGTTGGACGGGCTGATGAGGCCTCGGGTCCCTAAGCATCTTGGATAGTGACCCCTTATTTAAGACATTTTCTCTGCAAGACACTACAATATTCACCTTCTATGACTTTACACTGCGAAGGGCTGACCATGGAAGATTGAGACATATATGCATGGCACTAACTAATTTGGCTCAGTGGTAGAGCTTTGGCCTGCAGACTGAAACGTCCCAGGTTCGATTCCTGTCAAGGACATGTACCTTGGTTTCGGGTACCTCCCCAGTAGGGGGTAGCTGCTCGATGTTTCTCTCTCATCGATGTTTCTAATTCTCTATCCCTCTCCCTTCCTCTCTGTAAAATATCAAATATATATATATATATATATATATATATATATATATATATACATATATATATATATATTTATTTATTTATTTATTTATTTATTTATTTATTTATTTATTTATTTTTTTAAGACATATATGCATGAATGACCAATACTTTTTACTGGGGAGTATTTTAAGGCCAAATGAACTGTACGTTCATGAGTAAAATCCTACTCAGTGGTTGAGCATCAACCCCTGACACAAGAGGCCTCTGATTCAATTCCCAGCCAGGGCACATGCCCAGGTTTTGGGCTCAATCCCCTGTGGGGGACGTGCAGGAAGCAGCTGACCCATGATTCTCTCCTCTCATCATTGATGTTCCTCTCTCTCTCCCTCTCCTTTCCTCTCTGAAATCAACAAAAATATTTTTTAAAAAAAATAGTTGAGTGAGCTTGGATTGATGGAACCAGAACCATGGCGCTGAGCACCCTGGATTCTGAGGTGCTCACAGACCACGAGAGGGGGTGAGCCCTACAAGGGATGGACAGGAATGCAGAGTTCTTAAAACCTCACGAAGTCCGTCTCACATGCCAAATATCATTTCTTCTAACATTGCCCCACTGGAACCTGGATTGCTACAATAACATTCAGGAGATTTCCCTCCCTTCAGCACTGGCCTATTCCAACGTCTTACATAACCGACGTTCAGAATCATATTTCTCCAGGGTCACTTCGCTTGCCTAAGTTCTTTCTGAAATCCTCCACTTGGCTGGTTGGTAGCTCTGGGCTGTGCATCCATAGCCATCATATAAATACTACCTCTCTACTAATAGTATAAGCATCTCTCCACAGAACCGGAGTTTTCCTTAAACTAGGAAACTGTCTGGAGAAAAATAATGCATTCATCACCTTGTGAAATCGGTTCTGCATATTCCCGGGATTTAGCAATGTCCGGGAACCTGGCTTGTAAAACGTGTCATGTGTGTTTGTTTAATACGTGAACCAAACGAGTTCCTGGCCTTGGACTCGGTGCTCCTCCCATAATCCTTTGTCCCTGCCTTCCAGTCTTGCCCATTTCCTCTTCCATCGCTCTCATCTGTGGCCCAACAAGTCCCCCGGGAGTCCACTTCTTGCTCAACCGGTTGCTCAAGTCACCATTGGGCCACACAGTCCGTGTGTTGGGGTGACGCCATGTTGTTTTGGGTTTACAATGAAATGCATGGAAGCTAGCTTTCACACTTGAGGGACTTTATGCTTCTTTGGGCTCCGTCTCTGATCTAGAACTCTTGACATCTGAGATACTGGAATAACCCCTACCGGGGATGTGCCCACAACCAAGGTACATGCCCTTGACCAGAATCGAACCTGGGACCCTTCAGTCCGCAGACCGACGCTCTATCCATTGAGCCAGACTGGATTCTTGAGCAGCTGTGAGTTGCCCTACTTACACCCTTGCTCATTAGTCAGCTTCAGATGAAGACTTACTCATTCTTTGTAAGAAGCTGGACAGCGTGCTGAGATGTCAGACAGGGACAGTTGGCTTCTATAAAGTGAGTCTCTACAGTAAGCACTTAAAACTGATGTTTCTTAAGTTTCTTCTTTTTTCTGAAGGACACCCAGCAGAGCCTTCTCCCTGCAAGGAGGGCCTGACTCTTCGTTTTAGTGTTGGCCAATGACCCCTCAAACCCCATGGGACACTTAGGGCCAATTCTCAATAGAAGCAATTTGAACTAATTCTTCCCCCACGAGAGATGGAGCTTCTGGCAGCTGGCGGCTTTTCAATGCCTCCCATTGAGTGCCCAGCCTACTTTGCTGGAAGGACGCAAAGCTCCATCATTTAAGTTGCAATTAGTGGCTTCCCACAAATTACATAGCGCTTCGGCAAGTGCCCTCTCCCGACTGCTCTGTTAACAAGCTCATGGAGTGTACATCATTGTTCTTTTGTGGCCAAATTGTCCTCGTGCCTTCTTATTCTCACCGCTTAGATCATATCTGCCAGCCAAAACCGGTTTGGCTCAGTGGATGGAGCGTCGTCCTGTGGACTGAAGGGTCCCAGGTTCGATTCCGGTCAAGGGCATGTACCTTGGTTGCTGGCACATCCCCAATAGGGGGTGTGCAAGAGGCAGTTGATGGATGTTTCTCTCTCATCGATGTTTCTAGCTCTCTACCCTTCTCTCTTCCTCTCTGGAAAAAATTAATTAAAAAATATTTTTAAAAAAATTAAAAGAAGATAAGATTATATCTTCCCAGGTGTCAACCCCAGGGAGCTCCACCTTGGTGTTTACCAGGCCCCCGACTAGGAAGGCACAGAAGCAGTGTCACGCCTTGCCTTCCGAAGATGTCTTATTTTCTTGGCAGAAATATTGTTCCATTTCAGTTTTGGTATGTAGGTGTTAGCTAACCTACAATGTGCTGGTTTGTCACCTTTATCATAGCAAAGAAAAGTCACAGTTACAAAGAGAACTCACACTGAGTGGCCAGATGATGATGATCTCTGAACGCATCATCATCTGGCCACTCAGTGTCTATCCTATAGAATAAAAGGCTAATATGCAAATTGTCCCCTCAACCAGGAGTTCGACCAGCAGGCAGGCGTGACTCTATGGTTACACCAGCTCCGACCCTTAATGTCCTCTGCTCTCCATAAAGAACTTCCTTCTTGCTCTCTCCTCTTGCAGATAGCTTGCCATGGCTGCACGTACTGGACTGTAATCCTTTCTTTTTCACGAATGAATCCTTTTTGCAGACAGAATCCTCAGTTGCCTTTTTGTTTATGGTCATGAGAGGCATTTAGAAGCCCTAGATTTGGCCTGCTGTAGCACTTTGTAGCTCTTCCACACTAGAAATATCACTTGAGAGCTCTTGACCTCTATTTCCTTGTCTTTGGAATGAAAAAAATTAAACAGATAATCTGTACATTCTCTTCCGGAGCTATCTTCATGTCCTATTGATAGATCTTGATAGAAGTTCAAGGTGCACAGGTTATGCGTTTTCCAAAGCCAGCAAATATATAATTACTTTGTGCACTTTCTTGTGTATAACTTCACACCTAAAGAGCAGCTGTAAACAAACACGGAGCTGTCTTAATGAGATGTCTACGGCAAAACTTGTGTCCGCAATTTACTTGCAAATGCATCAACATGAGATGAGTCACGTGGGTGAACTACTGAAATCGAGAGAGGTTAACAAATTGTCCCAATCTTCACTACTAAGAATGACACTGGGTGGCATTTGATCCCAGTTCTGTCTCACTCGGTATCCTTGTTCTCCCATTCTCTCCTGCCTGTACTGGGATGCATGGGTAGAAAATTTCAATGACTTAATATGAATCTCCATGAAAAGAAAGATTCAGGGAGGAGGTTGGGCGGGAAGAACTGTGGAAAGCTGGAATTCCAACCATAAGCCAGGTAAAAATCGTACAGAGTTTCAACAATGCACAGCTGATTAGCTCTAGTGCTTAGATGTAATGCGAGGTTTCCTGAGGGTTGTGACATTCGGAGATGACTAATTAACCTGGGCAGCAAATCCATTTTATTTGCTTCCGTGACACAGTCGATCATGACGGGCTCACCGTTTGCTCATTTGAAAAATGATTAGGCTTCCCATTTAGACTTAATTACAGTGCAAAGGTTGACAGTTATCTTCTCTGTAGAAGCATCAGATGCTCCAATATCTCAGTGAACATGTGCCCATAATTATGTACATAATTTGTCTAGCAGAAAATGTAACCCAGCCATTTACTTGGATCTTATGCCTATAATTAGAGATCATCAAAAATACCACATGGAAAAAGAGAGTTGGTGGGCTGTTAGGACCAGGATAATGTAAGAATCTGTCTGGAGCTGTTAGTGGGAATACAGCAGCAACCAGCATCTCAATTAGGAAATTTGAGAGAAAGATGGAAATTATGGTGGGATAAAAGCACAGTACAATCACTCTGACCACAATCATTCAAAGTCCCACAGGCACTCAGATTCAACACAGCTAAAACCAAACTCATTTGCCCCACCTCGTCCCCTATAACTGCTGCTTCTCTGTGTTTGCTGCCCTAGATAATGGCTAGGCATTCTGGAATCATCTGTAACTATTGTTATCTAGTTTCTTCCTTCCAATAAAAGCGGTGTAATAACTAAATGTTCCTGAGGGTGTCTGCTCCTCTGTCTTCATCTTTCTTTGTTTTAAAAAATATATATATTTTTGTATTGATTTCAGAGAGGAAGGGAGAGGGAGAGAGAGAGAAACATCAATGATCAGAGACAATTATTGGTTGGCTGACTCCTACACGTCCCACACTGGGAATAGAGCCCACAACCCGGACCTGTGCCCTGACCGAGAATCTCTCTGTGTGTGTCTACCCCCCCTCCCTTCCACTCTCTAAAATTTAATCAATGGGAAAATGGGAAATGGGAAAATATCCTTGGGTGAGGATTAAAAAAAAAAAAAAAAAAGAACTGGATAAAAGGGGGAACGGATGTTCTTAGGGCATATCCCCATAGCTAAGCCCCCTGGCTCAATATCTCATGATTTTTTAATTCTGAATAACTGAGAGGGAGGTCCCCAAAATCTGAGCATCTTTCCCCTTGGCCAGGACCCCCAGAGGACTGTACCAATGACACCACTCCAGGTTCAAGGTTCTTTCCCCAGAGGGTTATGCAATGAGCAGTGCTTTGTTCCATGTTGAACTTGAGGTCGCCTCGCTTAGTGCGAGCGCTGTGCTGAGAGGCAGGGCTAGACTCTGATCCTGAAAAAATGCGGCGAGTCTGCAATGAGATTCCTTGGGCCCTGCTCGCTCTATAAAAGGGGGGCTCTCCCTTGGAACCCCAAGAGAAACATGCTTTCAAGTCCCTGTCACCCAACTCCTGAGAGGTCCCGGGGGCAGGCTGATGGATTGGACTAAGAAAGAGATGGCTCCTCCCCCTCCACCCAACCCCACCATCTCCAGGTAGGCAGGCGGGGAGAGGCCCATACCTTACCAACAAAAGAGTCAGTAGTTGATGGATGAAAAAAGAATCATTGCCTACATGAAGAATATTTTCCTTCCCAACATGTGAAAACGCCCGTTCATGCAATTCAGAGAATTCAAACTACTCCAGAGAAGCCCTCAGATGGAAAAGGGCAAAGGGGCCCTCGGTCTACGATGCATTTCAAATTCCAAGCAACATTTCCATCCACGGCCTGGATATAGGAAAGGAATTTCAGGGCATCCATCTGGGGACCAGGAGCGTGAATACGAAGCTGCCTTGTCAGCAGTGACGGTAGCCAGGCCCAGGGATCCGGAAGCCCAGCAGGAAAGGGGTGCATCCTGGAACCTCTGTCAGGGGTTCTGAGGGGGCGCTGGTGGCCCTGAGAGTCCCGCCTTCACCCGTGACCTTCAGTGGCCCCCGTGTGCCCAGCTGCCTTCAGTCGCTGTGATTTTTGCATCCTAGTTCAGGGAGCAAATTCTCCATCCTTTACACCCCCCCTCCCCTCTCTTCTGATTCCAGCGACGTGAACCAAACTGTTACTTTAATAATTCCTACTGGCCAAAACCGGTGTGGCTCAGTGGATAGAGCATCGGCCTGCGGACTGAAAGGTCCCAGGTTCCAGATTCCGGTCAATGGCATGTACCTTGGTTGCGGGCACATCCCCAGTTGGGGGTGTGCAGGAGGCAGCTGATCTGATTATTCTCTCTCATCGATGTTTCTAACTCTCTATCCCTCTCTCTTCCTCTCTGTAAAAAATCAATAAAATATATTTTAAAAAATAATAATAATTCCTAACTGAATACTCGCTAACGATTTTACTCCTGGGTCTACCGTTATGCATTGCATCCTTGTAAGCTCTCTTCTTAGCTTCAATTGCCTTGTGATGAAAATACGAATAAATATCTTCCAGGCTTAACCCACACTCTGTTTATTGGAAAGATTAATGGATTATTGTAGGAGACATTTAATTTTATTCCCTCGGCACTTTATTTATAACACATGGAATGAGCATGACTGGTTGGCCCATCTACCAGTTTGTTAGAAAGAGATCTTATCTCTGTGTCTGTTCATCCTTTTATTAGTTACATTATTTCATGCATTGAGCAACAAGAACAACAAAATTATGTCATGTACTTGTTAACAAGCAGCTGTGTGCAAGGCGCTGGGTGTTTATAACACAGGTTGTTTTTTTTTTTCTGCCCTCTCTCCAACTATCACACAAATTCCCCTTGTGTGATCCATTCGCTTCTCTTACATGTTCATTCAAATGTGTCCCTCCAGCCCAACCGGTGTGGCACAGTGGATAGAGCATCAGCCTGCAGACCAAAGGGCACCAGACACAGTGCAGGTCAAGGGCACAAACCTCTGTTGCAGGGTCCTCCCCGGCCCTGGGCTCTGGTCGGGGCTCCTGTAGGAGGCAACCAATCAATGTGTTTCTCTCCCATCGATGTTTCTCTCTGTCTCTCCCTCTCTCCTCCACTCTCCCTAAAAACCAATGGAAAACTGTCCTCAGGTGAGGGAGGATTAACAAAAAACGCACAAAAACAAATTTGTCTTTCCAATACTGTTTCTCTTCTGGACTATAACCCAGCTGCTGTTTAGGCTTTTCCACTTGCTGTTCATCAGGCAGCCCAGCCTGATCAGCCTACACTGAACAGAGTGGCACATTTTCAGCCCATTTACAGATACCCCCAAACCCAGAGTAACTGAAATATAGCTTTGACATACCTGCCTCTTACCCAGACTTCACAAATAAGTCCAATCATTGATGGGCTGCCTCCTGCACACCCCACACTGGGGATCAAGCCCACAACCTGGGTATGTGCCCTGACCAGCAATTGAATGGTGACCTCCTGATTCATAGGTTGATGTTTAATCACTGAGGCACACCAGTCAGGTAAAAGGAAAAAATTCTTATTGTCCTTTATAACGTTTGCCCCTTTGAAACTTTAAAAATTTCTTACTCTTCATAAATTATGATAGAAAGCCCTATTTAAGTGACCCTCACTTAACCTACTTCCAAGATGGCACTGACCCCTCATGGATGCTCACGGTACACTGAGTGCCCATAAACTCCTCACACCAAGAAATGGCTTTTGTTTTTCTCTCCCTTCCAACGTTACCTGTGTAGGACATATTTGTTATTTAATTACTTGATTTAAATAGGAAGTATTCAAAGTGATAAAATATGAACACGAGCTGAAACCGGTGTGGCTCAGTGGTAGAGCATCAGCCTGCGGACTGAAAGGTCCCGGGTTCGATTCCGGTCAGGGGCATGTACGTTGGTCGCGGGCACATCCCCGGTGGGGGGTATGCAAGAGGCAGCTGGTCGATGATTCTCTCTCATCGATGTTTCTAACTCTCTATCCCTCTCTCTTCCTCTCTGTAAAATATCAATAAAATATATTCTTTTAAAAAAATATGAACACGAAAAGAAATTTTTTTTTCTGCAGCTCAGTTAAAAGCTTTAGAAAAGAACTTGACAAAGGCAATTCATTAAAAAGTCGTATTAAATAAGAACGATTAAGGGGGGAAATGAAAAATTTAGAAGAATTCTGCACTTACGTAGCTTTGTCTTATCTTTAAGTTCCAGACAGCCTTTAAAGAAACAAAAAACAGAGCTCTCAAATAATGAATCGTGGATATAATTTGTACACAAATGATGACAGAAATATTCACATAGCAGACTTCTTCCATAGCAAACACACACACACACACACACACACACACACACACACACACAAATAGGCTCTAGTCCCACATTGCATTGTGCAAATGAGTACACCCTATAAGTTATTAATTTAAAATACATTATGTATGACATGCATGTCATTTTAAAAAAATGATTTCATTCTCTAATCCACTTTTAAAATTAATCAACCGAGTATTGTCCCATTTTGATTATAAGAGGTTTTCTACAAAATGCAGAAGAGCAAGGAGTGCAGAATTCAGTAATAGCAGATAATTTCTCAGCGTTTCTCCTTGATTCCATTTAGGAGACTGTCACAAACACTACCACAGAAAATTACTTGCTAATTTTATCATACTTTTTATAACGCAAATGCAGGGATTTCCTAAACTAACATTTGGAGCATTGCCTCTTTTATAAAAATTTAGAATTTCTCCCTCTAATTATTTCCCACTTGCTTTGCCTTCACGCTCCCCGTTCCCTTGGAGTGTTCTTCCCAGAGATGAAAAATAGTTGCTGAAGTCAAAGCTCACCTTCATCTGCGAGATGATTGACAGCAGAGGGGAATCCGCAGTGTTGAAAGCTCGGGAAGTCAATTAAAAAATTAATCCTGGAGTGACAGATATTAACGCAGAACAAAGACCATCTGACTGAGGAGACACATTTTCCACAGAGTCTAGGGCCTTTCAATAACCCTCAAGGAAGACTGTACCCAACACTTACAAAGTGCTCGTAGAGATGTCAAACTAGGCCTAGCATCACGATGTTTCTCAAGATGGCCCATTTGAAAATGTGATAAAATATCTATCAAAAGTGTTTTAAGGTCTGAGGCAGTGGCTTAGTGGTTGAGTGATGACCTAAGAACCAGGAAGTCATAGTTCGATTCCCGGTTAGGCACATGCATCAGTTGCAGGCTCTATCCCCAGTAGGGGGCGTGCAGGAGGCAGCTGATCAATGATTCTCATCATTGATGTTTCTCTCTCTCTCTCTCTCTCTGTCTCTGTCTTTGTCTCTGTCTCTCTCCTTTCTTCCTCTCTGAGATCAATAAAAAAAAAAATCTGTTTTATAAAAAGTGTTTTAATTGACTGGCTACATACAAGATGATCAAAGATGATTCAGGCTCTCTTCATCAAAACCTATTGCCTCAGCAGTCTTAGGATTCTTCTTAATTTTATACTGATTTTCAGTTGTTCATCAGTACGACTCATTATTAGAAACAAATTTATGGCTCCTGAGTTCTAAACATCACTTCCATTATAACCTCACTAGAGGTCTGGTGCATGAAATTTGTGCAAGAATAGGCCTTCCTTCCCCTGGCTGCTGGCACCAGCTTCCCTCTGGCATCCAGGACCTGGGCTTCCCTCACAGCCCCGGCTTCATCCTGAAGGATGTCCAGTCTAATTAGCATATTACTTCTTTTTTTATTATAGATTAGAATTTAAATGATAAACTAAATGTTAGGGAACTTTTTACTACCTCAAGACAGACGATCTCTGACATTCAAGGTCATCCTAATGTGATTCCCATAAAATTTCCAGCTGTTTACCCTCCGCCACACCTGTGCCCACCGCACTCCTTCCTGCCTCTTTTGATGGCTTGCTCTTCCTAGACCGTATCATGAGTATGTCCTTGCTCTGGCTCTCTCTTCTATAGGTCTGTGTCTGTATCCCTCTCTCCGAAGTACCACGTCCATTCTGTTCCTTGTTCTCTAACATCTGGACCCATGCCGACATTTGGGACTTAGCAAACAGTTCTTTAATAAAGAACCTGAAGAGTTCCAGGTTCGATTCAGGTCAAGGGCACATGCCCAGGCTGTGAACTTGTGGGGAGGTAACTGATCAGTGATTCTCATCATTGATGCTTCTGTCTCTCTCTCTCCCTTTCCCTTCCTTTCTGAAAAAACAAAACAAAACAAAACAACAAAAACGAATATATATATTTAAAGAAATGAATGAATCAGAACAGTGTCTCCTTTAAGACTATATTTGCCCAATACGTAGTGCAGGAAGTCAGTGATTATTTGTTGAATGAATGCTAAGTCACTGGAATATCAGAGTGGGAGGACAGTCACTGCCTGATAAGAGGTAATGAACATCGAGACTGTTCCTCAGACTCGCCGGCTGGGTCAGTCTCTAGGGCTTTAGCATCGGGAACCAACTAACTGGTGGTGCTGGGCGAGCATGTTGGTTTTTTGACACGGGAACCTCACTTTCTGTCCAAACTCAACCACTCGCTTCCCTGTCATCTCAATCGTAGGAGTTTGCTTTTGCAACGTTGGGTTTTTCTTCATATTTTCTCCACAGCTGTGCTGGCAGCATCCGTTTCCAGCCTGGGCAGGAAGCGTGTGAGTCAGAGGTGGGATGGAAGTGTTTCTGGGCTGCTCCCAGCCCTCCGACAGGGACTGTCTTTCCTGGCGCTGCTGCTGCAAAGAGTTTGCAGAGAGTAGGAGACTGCGGGTAAGGAATTCGCCAAATGAGAAGTTCACCTTCTTTCTGATGAGCACAGAGGTTTTAAAAGTGCAGGTAGGGCGGAAACCGGTGTGGCTCAGTGGATAGAGCGTCGGTCTGCAGACTGAAGGGTCCCAGGTTCAATTCCGGTCAAGGGGGCACGTACCTTGGTTGCGGGCACATCCCCGGTAGGGGGTGTGCAGGAGGCAGCTGATGGATGTTTCTCTCTCGTCTATGTTTCTAACTCTCTATCCCTCTCCTTTCCTTTCTGTAAAAAAAATCAATAAAATATATTTTTTTAACAAAGAAAGAAAGAAAGGACACCCACGTGGCCAATTCTGCTGAAACTCAACAGACTGATTTTGCTTCTGACCCTTTTCGGGGCGGCGGGGGCGTAACGACCATACGTACACTCAACCGACGCAAAACCTGACAAGCACATAGTTTATGACACTGCCCTGTGGGAATCCAAAGAGCAGATGCTCTTGATCGTGACTGCTTTCCAATTTTCCGGCCGAGGGAGAGGAGCCCAGCACATTTGAGGACCAGCTGCAGGGATCCATCCCTGTCCCGGTGCCAACAGCAACGCTGGGAGGCGGGGCCCGGCTTAGCACAGAGACAAGGGCCTTGGTGAGCAGCACAGACAGGGCTTTTAATGACCATGACCGGGGCTGTCAGGGCATCTTCTGTCTGTCTCCCAGATGCTCCGTTGAGGAGCTGGAGGAGGAGGCCGTCTGGATTTAAAGGGCCAAGTGGCTGAAATCACGGGGCCACCTCTCAGCTTTGGCAGTCACGGCGCCAAGACAAGTTTCTGGCCAAAAGGACTTGGAAAAGCCCCAGCTGTTGGCTGCCTGTGCGATTGGGGATTTGCCCATCGAGGTCCAGAGACTAGGGCGGAGGGAACTGGAGTGAGATTCGGTACATTTCCACGTGGGAATGGACCAGGTTCAGGGCAGCTGGGCCTGACCTCAGGAATGAGAGAGCGTGGTCCTTTAATCACCAGAGTTGGCCTGATGCTGGCATGAGCCAGCGGAGGCAAGATTTTGCAGGTCTGTCTGTGCAGCCAAAGGCAAGGGGCTGGTAGCAATGCGCTTGATCCAAAGGAAGCAGGGGGAGAGTCATGCTGGGATGCCACCCATGATGCACCGGGACAGCATGCATTCCAGTGGAATCAGGAGACTGATAAGAAGGAAACTTGTTGCCCTAACCATTTTGGCTCAGTGGATAGAGTGTCGGCCTGCGGACTGAAGGGTCCCAGGTTAGATTCCGGTGAGGGGCATGTACTTTGGTTGCGGGCACATCCCCAGTAGGGAGTGTGCAGGAGGCAGCTGGCCGATGCTTCTCTCT